ACATCTTTTCCATCAACTTGGTTGAAACGTTAAAAATGGACAAAACATGGTGCTGTGGTGATCATCATCACAAGCAGTCAGAAAAAACCAGGCAACTATGAGTCAAAAAGGGGGGCTCAAGGTATTGAAAAACTTTGTCCTGCATACAACATAAAAGGAGATGTCTTCTCCTAAAATGCAAGAGAAAGCAATAGTTTGACCCATTGAATTTAGAAAAAGACAGGCTTACCAAAAATAGAAGGATTCAACTACTTTTTTTTTTTTTTTTTTTTGGGAGAGGGAGAGTGAGAGGGGGAGGGGAGGAGGTAAAGGGATTTGAACATTTGATCTTAAAAAAATAAAATATTCACAAGACAAAGAGTACACTTGGACCGAGGATTTATTGGTAATTCAACTATTGTTAGGAAGAAAAAAATAATAAAAAATTAAAAAATATATATATATTCATATATATATTTGATTAATATGAAAATTTTGCGAAAAAGATTTTAAAAAAATTTATTCCATTGTTTGAAAGGACAAAAGTTACGAGAAATTTTTTTAATTATCTAAATTATCCTTAATTATATTAAATTGGTCTAAAGAAGAAAAAAGTATATATATTATAGTTAAATAATTTTAAAAAAGTGACTCCTAACCTAATATTGGGACAAGCATCAGCACGAAGTTTTTTAGACAAAATTATATAGTTAACTAAATTCATACCAATATTTTTTAAAATTAATAACTAATAAAATATTTTAAGAAAAATAAGAGTAACATTGAAAGTTAATTATAAATCACAACTTACTTGTATTTTCTTGTGATTTTTACAAGAGAAAAAAAAAAGTTGATTAGTAGTGAAAAAAGTTTTAAGTATGAAGCACATGCATAACACATTTTTCCCTCCAAAAAAGCATGTCAAGTGTGAAATTTTTTTGTTTATATGTCACTTTGTTTTATTATTTTCACAACTAATGGTGACAAATGAATCAAAACAAGATTCACAACTAAAATTTTATTTAATTAATATCAAAAAGTTACTTTCTACCATAACCTTATCTAAAAATTAAAAAAAAAAAAACACACACACACACACACATGAATTATACATCAACAAAATTTAACCTATGCTTACCGACAACCTTTTATTTGCTACTTGTGAATCTATCTATATCAGACCTAATATTTGACATTAACGTTCATAATGTCTATGAATTACCGGTCCCGCAGCCGCACCCCCCCTACCCCACCCCCACCCCCACCCCCATAAAATGGCTAATTGAAAGATTTCAAAGTTTAGTCAAGGGATAACATTGTCTTTTGCCTAAATTTCATCTTCAACCCAACTCAATCTATCAACGCAGAGTAAAAACTTTGACTAAATCCACAGCTAGAACAGCAGAATTTTATCCCAAACAGGCTCAAACAAGGTAAATGCTCCAGCTCCAGCTTGAGCTTGCAACTAAATATTCTTGCTACCCTTGCCTAGTTCAGGCAAAGCTTGCAAGCCAACCAAAACTAGTCGATCAATTTGCGGATTAATCTGCCTTTTCCCATTGCATCCACATCAAACATGGAGGGAAAAGAATCTGCTAATTACATATAATGCAAATTCCACAAATTATGAGTATAACCCTTTCCCGACCTTGCAATGGTGGAAAACTTGTATCCTGAATTAACCTTTAAAACTCATTGTTTGTGTAAATAATAAAGTGTAGGAAAAAGGTTCATGATAGAAGTTTGCCAAATCAAGCAATCGATTGGCGTAGAACAAAAAAACATAACCCTGTTTAGTTTGCATTTCAAAAATTATTTTCCGTTTTTGGAAATAGTTTTTAGAAGAAAATTTGTTTGACCAATTGTTTTGTGTTTTTGTTTTTTGAAAACTGAAAACAAGTTAGAGATGTTTTATGTATTTTTGAAAATAACCTTTCCAAAATTTAAAAGACACCACCACCACACTTCCATCATCACCACATTCCCACTACCACCACATTTTTGTTTTCATTATTTTTTGAGTTATTGTCCAAACAAATTTTACAATTTTCTATTCTGTAAAACAACTTTTGGAATAACTAGCAATGCACCACGTGCGTTGCACGTGACTATTTTTTTTTTTAAATTAATAAATAAATATTTTGTATATGTGTATTTGAATTAAATATCATCTCAAATTTATCAAACTTATTTTTACATTGCTCATGCTCCACTATAGAATTTTTGAAAACTTTATATGTTTTGAAGATTTGTTATTCTAACTTTAAGAAAAATGATAAAAAAAAAAAATAATAAATAAATAATTAAAGTTATATTTTTTTTCTATAGGTTTGTAATTGAAAGTGATTTTTTTAGTGATGTTTAAAAATTAAATTTTTTAAAATTGATTTGACTAAAATTTCACTTATAAATCATTGAATAAAATAAAAAATAATTATCAATATACCAATCGTATTAAAACTCTTATTGTATTTTGAATTAGTTAGGTCAATTGAGATAAATTTAATATATAACAACATAATATATATTATAAAACAGATTAAAATTTTTAAAAAATTCAAGTTTTCATATAAAATCTTAACACAGATTAAAGAGTTTACTGTGACTAAAAAATCATGTAAAACTATATATACATAATTTTTATCTTAAAAATAAAATGGTTAAATATTTTGACAAAAAATAAAATATAAATATGTAATCATAATATTATGTTTATAAATAAAAAGAGTAATATTATATTGATAGAATTGTTGAAGGTTTTTTTTTATTACTTTAAAATTTATAATAATGCATATATTTTTTAAGAGGAATATAATCAATCAAAAAATTTCATAAAATTGACATTTATAAATACAGAATAGATTATTAAAAAAATTAATTTGATTAAAATTCCTCCTTTCTACCAGCACCCAAGATAACCCAAACAAGAACACACTAGTCGAACAGTAAATCCACAAGCATACCAAAATTTCTGTGGATTGCTAGTCTTTCTAATTGCTTCCTGTGCAAAACAATTCCTCTTTCCATTCATTTAATCAAATAGCCATGGGCACCAATTCTCTCCCATTCAATTCTCCAAAGTCCACCTCTTGATACATTAAGACTACCATATTTCAATCAATCAAACTACATGATGGGCAGTGTCAAATTGCACTTAATGGCACCAACATGTGCCAGTACCCCATGTTTTAAATTTATATTAATTGCAAGAAAAACTAAAGTTTTCGATACGCTACTCAGAGAATTAATTGCATTATAGTGAATCTAATTCGATGAATCAAGAAAAAAGCTAGGAAACAAGAAATTAACAAATATTTGTTTTCTTCCACTACAAGAACACACAGCAAGTGGAGTAGAAGGGCACATAGGTGATAGGTGCACCGAGTACACTTCCTAGACGAATGCCGGTCATGTCCGACTGAATTTATTATTCAAGACACTTTTAGTTGTGTCGAACACGTGTCCAGATTGTATCCGTGTTGGACACATGTTCAATACTGCCACGGCACCCGGTGGGAAGTAATCCATGCTTCTTAGATTTTCCTATTTGTCTAGCAATAGTCTAGTCTTTAGCAAAAGAGAAAATGCCACAACATACAAGCTTTTAATCATTGATGTAATAACTGAATGTTGATTAATACATTATGTTGCACGAATCTCGAATTATGAACAAAATATAAGAAAATTCTATTCAAGAAGACAAGACCCATAAATCATAGAAGAGAATGAGAGTATGATGCATTTTAATTTATTTACGTTGCAAATACTAGAACCCAAGCAATTCTCTAGGGATCGAGCTTCACTAACTGCATAACAATTTTTTTTTTCCTAATACATGTCTAATTTTTACATACGTATTAAATTAGAGTATTCTTTTAGCATTATTCCACTCTAATTTCCAAACAAGAGTCAACCACCCCATTATGGGTTTAGGCAGACTAGGCATTGATATGAATTATCATAGGATAATGTCTAATCTTTGCCCTATAACCAATTTACCATCCTAAATTTGTAGGCTTACTCATTCCATTTACTTTTAGCCCTATATGACCATAATGAAATACTATTGCTTTGGAGAAAAACAGCTAAAGAATCAAAATTAAAGCATCAAAAGGAAAGATGGGTACCTTGAGAGAAACGCTCTTTTTTACCCTTTTTTACCTCATAGAAGAGATTGCTCATACAAAGAGACAAACCGAAGTACAGTTTTGGATCACACTCGCAGTGAGAAAGATAGATGGAAAATAAAGGTGGGTCTCCAGAGCTTTCATCATATATCGGGTAAAGCAACATTCACAGACCCATCTCTCTCTCTCTCTCTCTCTGATGCACTGAAAAGAACAGGCAACTTGGCGAGCCACAACCCTAACCACGTTCCCTACTGCAACATGTACACTTTATCCAGACCAAGAAGCTAAGATAAGATGGGTAATCAAATCATCAAGCATTATCTTCCACCAGTTGTTGCAGCAAAGCAGAGGCAGAACTCTCATCACACATCACTCAGCTGCCAGAGATATGGTCATTCCCAAACTTCAAAGCAACCCTAACCCCAACCCCAACCCCAACCCCCAAACCCAACCGAACCCAATCCCTACAATTACTCCTGTTCCCACTAACCAGTCACAAACCAACCAGCATAGTAGCAGAACTCTGTAGGACCATCCATTGAATCATGTGTTAAAATTCATGATAGTTTGTATTGGTATCATGTTTAACTATGTTTTATTAGTGTATTTAGACTCACTTATTTAACTTAACTAGTCCACCCATTTTTCATCTCTAAATCTGACCAAAATTAAGAATTGTGAGCCCTAATTACACCACAACAAACACATAAGCAAGGTACATACATAATACTAATGTATATCTACACATATAAACACATAAACAACTTCCATTACACATGAATTTTAGCATATTTGAAACCAAAAGAAACTACACTGTTCTCTATCCTTCTTTCTCTACTGAAAACTAAGCAAACACATCAGATTACAAAACAAAGAGTAATTCAAAGTCAGGTAAATTACTGATAACAAGAAACTCAAAAGAGATTTTCACAGTAACATGAGAGAGAACAGGAACCAGAAAACTAACCAAACCCATTTTCAGTAGGGTGGTGGAGGTCTAGCAGTGGGTGCCCAAATCACATCAGAAGGCAAGTGACAGCTATACATAGCCATCCCACAAGACTCAGCCGCAGACGGCGGATGCCTACAATCTCCACCCCCAGAAACCGCTGGCGGCGACTGGTGTCCCTCATTCCCACCCGACCCAGTATTCGTTATCTCCTCTTCCACCGGCAACCGATGATAAGATGGATTATTAAACGAGGCCGCAATCACATACACCGTTCCGGCTGCCATCAGTGATCCGACGACGTTCCCTCCAACCACCTGACCCTGAGGTCCGGCCAGAGATATAGTGAATCCATTGGCTACAGTCGCCGGAATCACTGATGTCATCTGGGTTGGTAATACAGTGGCTGATAAGGATAGTAAATCGAATCGGCCATGGAATGTAACGGTGGCTCCTGGGGTCGTCGACGGTTGACGGAGCGTGACGTTAGCGACTGTGCCGGAACCGGAGAGAATACAAAGACCCATGTTACGTTTTCTACAGTATCTAGTAATCGAATCAACAATGTCAACCCCCCCAGGTAATTCGAGGACATAGGGACTCATGGAAGGCTCTGATTCGCGAGTGATGACGACGGGTGGCTTTGGTTTATTTTTGGAACCCGGTGGCCGGCCACGAGGACGGCGGACTACCTCGATGGTGGCTCCATCGTTCGCGGTGGTGATGAGTTCTTTTTTGGTGGCTGTGGTGGTGGAGGGGCTGCGACTGTCTGCTTCTTCGGAGGTTTGACATTCTCGCGTGGCTTGGAAGAGTTGAGTTTGGTGGTGGTGGTGGTGGTGTAGAGGTGGTTGTGGGTAGTTCTGTGTTTGATGGAGCTTAGCAAACATGTTGGGGTGATCTCTTTCTTCTACATATTCTCCTTTCATCTTTATCTGTTTCTCTCTTCTTTATATCTATTCGTATGATTGGTTGTATGTTTGCAAATTCTATAAAATGAACCAAATTTGGAAAGGGACGGATAAGGAAAGAGAGTGGAAGCAGCTTTTGGATTTGGATTTTGATTTTGATTTTTCTCTAAAAAAGAGTCAATGAGAGGAGAGGGGGTACTTACCTGGAAATATATAAACAATGTGATGTGAGAGAGAGAGGGAAGGAGAGAGGAAGGTAGGGAAGAGTTGGGTGAACTTGGAAACCACGTAAGGACTAATGGCGCCGCTGGTTGGAGGCAAAGTAGGCTCCACGGCTTCCACTTGTAAGAGAGAGAGGATGTTTGGTTGAACTTTTGGTTAGCTCAACCTTTCACCGCCATTCTTTTCTTCAAGTTTGAATGGATTGACAAAGACTCGTTCATGCTCTTCTTCAGAATGAAAAGTCTAATGCGCTGTGTTTGGTAGAGTGAGAAATAGGGAGGAAAAAAAATTGGAGGAAAGAAAGGTCGAAAGAATTCCCTTTCCTCCTTGCCCACCAAAATTTTTCATCAAAATTTGGATGAAAAATAAAGGGTTAATTATAAACTATTTTTCAAAAAATCGTTTGAATCTCAATTTATACACTTAAAGATAAAAAATTTCAATTTACACCCTTAAATATCTCAATTTATACCCCTAAATATTTTATTTTTTTTCATTTTTTTTAATATTAAATACTAAAAAATTTAACTCCTCAAATTTTTCATACATCATACCAAACAAAAGAAGAGAAAACGTTTTTTCTTTCTCAAATAATGAAAAGTCAATAGGTCCTATTTTTTCAACCTTCCTATTGATCGAACCATAAGTTATGTCATGAAGAAAACAAAAATCAATATCACCCCGTAATGTACAAATCTTCGATTTTGTTATACATTTTTTAGGGTTTTGTTGTCGATCTTAATAATTTTAAAATCAATTGTAAATATCTAAAAAAAATTATAATTAGAATCATAAAAATTATAACACGGTCCAAAAAATTCTAAAAAATTTACACATAATTTTAATGTTTTAAAATCGAATCCTCTTCCTAATGGGTGATGTTGATCTCCACTTAAAAATAAATAAAAATTCAATGAGTCTAATACACAACATCACAGTGTTATGTGGTATACATCGCCAATAAAAAATTGTACGTGTCTACTTAATAGCTGTCACCTACCATTTTGTCAAAAATTTTCTTTGAAAAAGTGAAAAAAAAACTACTTTTGTTTTAGTCTCTCATTAATTGTGCACAACACAATGTTAGATGATGTGTTCAAATCATACAAAATTTCCTCACACAGTCTCTCTCTCTGGGTTCTCTCTCTTCTATGCAATAAATATTCTAAATCTCAGGTCACTTTCCTTGACAAGAAGGACTCATCTTCATTAGATGTCATAGTGCTTTATTTTGTATTTTTTTTCAAGTAAGACTTTCTAGCAGAGATCAAGGGGTTTCAAAGCTTGTAATAATTTAACTTGCTTGTTTGTTACGTGAGCATTTTTGGTTCATTTAGAAGTCAAAAAGGTTGGTGTATAGAGGGTCAAATCAAAACGTCGAAATTTTGAATTTTAAATCAAAAATCAAGTTGATATTGAATTAAACAGGGCTTAATTAATAATTACTATAATGTTTAATTAGTATGATCATATCATTTGGTTTTGCTTTTTATTAGTTTAGCATTACCTTAATTATAGACAATTATTTGTTATAAATTCATGTTAGAGTAATATTACCCTAATCAAAAAATAAATAAAAAATTCTATAATGAACTCTAATGAACAAATATTATGTGTTTTTTTCATAAAGAACTATATTTTCACAAGAATAAGTCCGTTGTGAGTCGAAGAACTATTCATCAAGTGGAACTATATATTCTTTTTACTAAACTAATCATCATTTCTCTTATATTTAACTCGCTCACCAAAACGTACTTCATTTCTTGAGACCAATGGCTCCTTTCTTCCTTCTAATTGATAAGAAAGCGATTTTTTCCTCCAGTTCCTCCGTGACTTTAGATGAAGAAAAAAATACTCGAAAAAAAAGGGGCTTTTTAAATTGATGTGTCAATTCTCTCTTTTTGCATTATTTGAATCGACGTAAAGAGGCTCAATCAAGTATAATATAGTGTGGCTTATAGTTCTAGTAGCACACCAAATGATAGAACCGATTGAGCAAAAAATTTAGACCAAAATTTAAAGTGAGTGCCTAATAAAGATTTAAATAAGTTATAAAATTGTATTGTGTTGAAATTTAAATGAAACTTAAAATTTTGGGCCTGCAAATTAAATGTCAAATTAATATATTATTTCACCAGCCACGCCATTTTGTTTAGTCAGTATTACTTTTATAAGTGCCCTTTAAATAATTTTTATCATATCTAAGTGAATACTTATTAGTATATTATACTTGATTCGCTATAAAAAAAATTATTTAATAAGATAATTAGCACTTACCACTAGAGTCACTCAAGCCACCTAATAAATTTTTATAATGGATAGGGTAGGGATTTGAATGTTCTACGAAGTGTAGTCTCTTGAGATAACCACTCATAAATTTATGAAAAAATTGTAAAGAGGTATACAAAAATAGAGTTATTGATCAAAAAGTACATAATTCTTAATGTTAGATCACTAAGTCCTTAGTTTTAGAACTTAATTGTGTCCAAATACACAATTTAACTATTTATGATTTTTCTTTGACATATTTGACATTCCTTAAACCATTCATATTTCTTTTGACAGTTAAGCTGATTTTTTATTTTGTTTTATTGTATTAAAAATTTCCTAATATAATGAAAGAATTATATTATCATAAAATATGCACCTAAAGTTAATTATGTATATCTTAACCATTTTAAATTTTAAATTTTTTGTCATTATCATTGTAATTAAACATATCTCTCGTCATTTTTTTTCTAAAATTTTTTTTTGGGGGGAGTGGGATGGAGAGAAAGCAAGGGGGTTTAAACCCTTAACCTTAAGAAGGTAAACCCCTCACAAAGTAAGTTATATATATATATATATATATAGTAAGATTGACTAAAAATAACTTACAATAGTTTACTGAAAGAAAATCTCTTGTTGCATCAAATGAAGATTGGATACAAGAGAGATATGGGAGAGGAGCGAATTTTGTACTAAAATTGGTTCTAGTTTGCTAAGAATAACTGAAGTCCTTATATAGGCGTAAGGATTTCTAGAGAGAATATTCAAAATGATTTTTCTTTTGACTTCTGGTGCTGCTTTTACTTAGGTAACTTGCTTTTACTTGGGTGAGATATTTTTCACTTTTATTTTTCGATGAAAAAGGTGAAGTGAATCTCTTTTACTTTGGTGAATTCTAGCGTTCAGGTAGAAGCATGTGACTGTTGGGTCCATAATGCTGGCTGAAAACTGCTTTCGGTGAAAAAGTTGATTGAGTGATTGACTGGTGGTTGCTTTTCTAGCAAAAAGTAGTCTTGTTGCTGGATAATTCCATCGAGGTACGTAAAACACAATTTTTCTTTCTTTAGTTGGAGAAAGTAATGACTGAAGTCTTTCACACAATTACGGGAATCATGGACTGGAGAGATCATAAGCATCATTGGGGTCTTGGGCATCCTGGAAGGGATCCATAAACGGGCTAACTGATGCTTGTGACGATACAGAAGAGTTGTCATCTCTTTGTCCTGCTACTTGTTGGAGTAGTTTTTGTGCTAGTTCAATTATCTCAGATGACTTTTTCTTCTATATTTTGCTGGAATCGTTAGATGAGCATTTGATTTGCTTTGCTGATGATGTCTGGACTTCTGGCGAGGAAACTCTCAGAGCTGGTATAACCTACTTGACTGGTGTGCTGGTAGTTGTTCATGTAATCCTGATTGGAGTAACTGAAAATTCTTTTTCAACTTGGGCAATAATACGGTTGTGGTGGAATGGACTCTGAAATCTAATGCATCCCCTACTTGGAGAGCAATTTTTAAAACATAATCTATTGTCATAGAAGGCACTAAATGGCTTCTTGGTAATGGGGAGAATATCCTTTTCTGGACTAACTGGTGATGTGGAGATTCTACCATTGCTAGCAGAATGCAGCTCCCTAGACTAGCAAATGTCAACAGCACGGTGGCGGACTTCATTGACTTTGCAGGTAATTGGATTCTGAGGAACACATGTATGATCCTTACCCCTTGCATTAGCTCTGATATTCTCATGACAAATATTCCTGAGATGGGTGATTTTGAAGATACTCCTATTTGGGGACTTGCTAATAATGAAAATTCTCTGCTAACTCTGCATATAATTGGATAACCAATACCGTTGATGATAGCAGACCCACTTTGAAATGAGATTGGATTTGGACTATGAAAATTTCCCAGAAGCTTAAATTTTTCCTATGGCTGATTCAAAGTGATAGAATTATGTTTAACTTGTTTAGAGCGATAAGAAACATGACTAGAGAGGCGACCTATGAGAAATGTAAAGCCAATATTGAATCCACTATTCACATTCTGAGAGATTGTTCCAAAGCAAAAGCAGTTTGGAAAGCCTTTCTTGGTAACCTCCCCACCTCTAATTTTTATAACCTTAATTTGCAAGAATGGCTTCCTGAAAATTATAGTATTAAAAAGATTTCAACCTGGAGAGGGATGAAGTGGCCTGTTGTCTTCACATCACTCATTTGGAACATCTGGAAAGATAGGAATAAAGAATGTATTGTGAAGACTCAGACCCTCCCTAATGTCATTGCAAAAAATGCATGGCGTTTAGCCATGGAAATTAAGACATCCTTCCAGGATATCTTAATTAGGAAGGACCGCTATTCCCCTAATCTTATAGGTTGGTCTTTTCCTCCTGCAGGTTGGCTTAAGATGAATGTTGATGGAAGCTCTAGAGGAAATCAGGGACCAGTTACGTTTGGAGGGCTGATTAGAGATGTTCAAGGGAACTGGCAGATTGGTTTCTATGGAAAGCTAAACAACTGTTCCAGCTTA